TAACCATCTAAGCTGAGACCGCCCATCCTCTATGAATGGATGAGAGTCAATTAAGAATCATTTTCCCATCAATTTTAGTCAAATCAAAGTTGAGACCCAGTGCCGCTATAAGTAATTTAAACACAATTTTAATCGTCAAAAAATAAAAGGATTCGTTTAAATTAGCTATTAAGAAATATTTATCCACTATCAGTTAACTCTGATTGAATAAAAAAAAAAATTCGTGAATTATAAACAGTTATTAATTTTTAAATATTAATTAAAATAAATTTTTTTATTTTATAATTTAAATTATATTAAACTATAAAATCAAAACCTTTAAATAAATAAAAAATTTAATATCAAGCATTCTCTTTAAATTTAAAAATAATTACTTTATAATACGATACAGTACAAATTACAAATAAAATTTCCGCTAAAAATATCATCTGCTCCTTTACATCTGACCGTTAGTCTAAACATTAATCATTCTACAGACAATTGTACCTTTGTTTTTTTTTTTTTTTTTTTTTTATATATATATTAATTTTTTAATATTTGATAATTATATTAAATTTTGATTAATTTAAAATCGAGTCATATTGAATTTCATTAAAAAAAACTTTTTTAACACTTATTTATTCATTCACAAAATTTAAATTTAATATTTTATTTTAAAAAAATTAAAATTTTTCCATCCAGAGTATCCTTTTTAAACCCCACTGAATAAGTCAAGTTTCATAAGTAGGAGAGAAAATTTAGGTGATAAGTCTTGCGAGGCAGCAGATCATGCCCACAAACAGTTAAATAAATGAGGAACCTAAAGATTGAGAGGCAAGTGAGAGTCGATCCTAATCGGACAGCCAGAATCATGTCGGCCACCGTTAAAAGGCAGAAGGGAAGTGTACCGGCTGCCGTCACTATTGGAATATTTGGACAATATACTTCCGTTTTTGGGTCAAGTTGCCAAACAAAGAAGAATTCCCCTTTTACCAATATATACATATACTTTATTTTTCCTTGTAAATTGTCAGTTATAATATTTAAAAATATTAATGTATAAATAATTTTAATTTATTAAATAATAAATATTAATTATTTTATTATTTATTAATTAACTATTACCATTATTATTTATTTTTAATAATTAAATTAAATAAAATTAATATTTAAATAATCTAATAATTTATTAGATCATCATGACCATTGTCCATAAGAAAGTTTAGCTCGAAACCCAATTTTTTACTTTCCAAGGCAAATATATATTTTTTTAATTAAAGGGTTAGCAACTTCTTATTAAAGAGATTTGAACTTTTAAAATTTTAATATTAATTTTAAATTAATAAATATCGAACTTAATTAATATTTGTTAGTAAAAAATGTGTATAGTCTAATTAGTGCGTCTTTGAGGAAATTAGCAGGCTAGAAAATGCAAGTTTTTTTTTTGAACATTTTGATATCGAATCCGTCCAGAAAAGAAAAATACACATATTTAATCATTAATGTCGTTGGGTCTCCTAAACCTAGTGCAGCTAGAAAATGCAACTTGAAAAAGATTATTGTTTGGGAATGTGTACGTAGCAGCGTAAAGTTAATAATTATTATTTAGTTATCAGGCTTTTATACTTTTTTTCACCATGATATTATGACTTAATTTTTTTAGTAATTTAAGTTCACGTGGTCGTCACTTGTGACCTTTTTAAAGTTGAACATTAATAAATAAGGTATTACTGTAGATTAGAGCGAATTATTAATTAGGTTATAGGCAGTCATGTATTGAGCACAGTAGATTTCGAACAATAAATTTCTATTAGTAAATATATTGTTTATATCAGCATATTCACGCAGGAGCATTTTGTTGTTCTTTCTTTGTCTTCTAGCACTCCAATCCCAAGTTTCCAAACCCAGAATTCTATAGGCAAAACCTACTTTTAATATTTTATTTTAATAAATTTATAAATTTTAGTTTTCAATTTAAATTATAACACTTTTAATTTTTTATTTATATAAATTAAAAAAAATAATTTTTATTTAACGTGAGATTATAATGTTTGTTGGTTGACTATTAACTGATTACCATTTAGTTGATAAATTATTAACAATGAAAGAAAAAAAAGTTAATAAAATATTAACAGTTATATGATAAATATTATAAATTAATATTAAATAATGATTATTTTTTTAATTTATAAAAATTAAAAATAAAAAATATCTTAATATAAAATAAAAAAATTAAAACTTATAAATTATTTAAAGTAAAATATAAAAAGTAGGTTTTTGCGAATTTCATGGGCGAACTTCAACTCTTCCAAAATCCTACATTTCCCTTGAGATCTTATTATTTATTCATATATCTTAAAAGAAAAAGGTCACAGGAAAAGAGGCAATATTTTTCTTGGAAAAAGAAAAAAAAAAAAGGAAAGGAAAAACCGAGGCATGTTTTTCAGTTCCCCGGACTGCCGGGCGTATCTTTCGGATATTTGTTTGAAGGGGGTGAATGGGCACAGGATTAGATGAATTAATTTCACCTTTCTCTAATTTAACTATTAATGTTTCTTTATGTTTAATTTCATTTAGTTTACTATAATTTAACTTAGCTCTAATTTATACTGTAAATTTGTGTTGAGTTGATTATATAGTCCTTGTTGCCTTTAGTCAATCTATCCCCATAGATAAAAAGAACACCTGTTTTAGTTTGATGGTATTAAACTTTGAGTTTAAACTGTTCACTTTTTATAGATAATATATTTGAGTCAAAGGGAACTTATTCTCCCTTCTCTCAATTAGGATAGGTAAATAATTGTAATTTATTCCAAAAAAAAATCTATACCAACAGAAAGATCCCCGCACTCCGGCTTATTGATTTAGACCTTAGGTGAGTAAGAATTACCTCCTATAAGTTGTATGTTCAATTTTTGTGAATTTCCTTTCCCCATTCCCCCTTTAATTAAATATGTATTAATTTTTTTTGTTCAAGAAAAATCTATACCCACAAAGAAATATTTTATAAAAAATATGTTATAGAATTCATAATACACAATTTAAATTATTAAATAAATAATAAACTTTTATTTTATAGTTACATGTGAACTCATATCTTATATAAATAACAACATTTATATTAAAAAAAATTACAAAACCCTAAAACAGAGTGAATCTTTTCATGTACGTGGAAATCTTCAAAAGTGAATATTCCACCTCCCTGGGAGTGCAGGGTAGATATCTATTTGGTTGAAGCAATGACACTTTCGGTTGATCCGTTCTGCATTTTGTACATCATGGCTTGTATTTAAAAGCGTGATAGAGTTTAGGACTTTTGCATTGCTGCTGCATAGTGCAAATTCTTATTTTTGTTCTCTGAATTGCAACTGTCTCTGGTGTAAATCTGTGAGGACCTTGTTGCCATTCCGCTATGATTTTCACAGTATTTCGTGAATCTCACTAACTTCACTGCTCTTTTCTAACTCTACAGTGTTATATATAGTGAAAATGTTAAGAAGTTTTATGAGCTTTTTTCTTGTGAGTTCTGAGTTGTGTGACTTGTGTCAAGTCAAAAAATAGGTTAAATATCCACTCTATCTGTCATTTATTAGAAATATTGTAGTGTAGTCTTTATATATATATATATATATCTATTTTTTAATAAATTATATAAGAAAAAATAATTATTTTTAAAAAATATTTTTTCTATTCGACTTAAAATTTAAACTTAAGATCTTTAATTTAAAATTTAAAATTTTTAATTATTGAATTATCTCCTTGAAGTATTGTAATGTAGCTTGTTTTGCATAAATTACACTAGTTTTATTTATTGAAGGAAGGGGTGAATTTCTTAAAATTAAGATTAAGTGTGCAGTTGCGCTCTTTCCTTGTATTTATTGTACTCCCTCTTTACTTGCTATACTTTTTAATTTGGGTGTTTAAATTTATTTGTTTTTTATTTTATTTTATTTCAAAATATTATTTTATAAATTTAGTTTTATTTTACCTTTATTTTAAGAAGTTTAAGTTATAGCTCTTTTTCGGCCTTCAAGTTGTCGTTAATTAAAGATAAATAGAACCTTTAACTAAAGTAGAAAGGAGGAAGGAATATATAATAAAACATAAATACTGAAATAATCCTAAAATTTTCTAGAAGAGAAGTTACTGCTGGAGAACAGACCTCAATTTTGCTTGTTATCTGTGCACCTTAGCGTATAATGTCTAAAAAGCAACTAGACAAAGAAAATATTACTAAAAGTACAAATATATATATATATATATACACACACTACAAGCGAAATAATAATAAAAGAGTATAATATTTTATAGACAGACATGGTTCAGGTAATAAAAAAAAATTTAATAAGAAAAAATAATTTTATAGTTTACTTTGCTTGAATCACTTTTTTTTTTTTGAATAATTTGTAATTATTTATATGGTGAATCACTTTTTTTTTTGAACAATTTGTAATTATTTATAGAGTTAATTGGGGGAGGGAGGAAAGGGATTCCCTGAAACTCGAATATGTAATCTACGAAAGTGAACAACTTTAATTCAGGGTCTGATATTACTGAACTGAATCGTTCGCTTGAATCACTTTTTTTAGAATTTTCTAAAATGTATTATTTTATGATTAATGTATATAAAAATGATAAAAATTAATTAAAATTTAATTAATTAATTAAAATGATTCGCGTGGTAATAATAAATTAATTTTTAAAAAATATATTTATTATATTTTAATCTATACCTTAGAATATAGAGTAGATAATTTTTTTTTTACTATTAATGAAAGAACAATAGCTCTAATTGCTCAGGACTCATCCTTCATTAATACTGTAATTATAAGATTTGTAATGTGTAGAAAGTAGTAGTATAAAATGGAAAAAAAAAAAAATAGTAGTATACTAAAATAAAGGAAGAACAGAGGAGGGACTTTTTCTTGGCTTGAGCCACACAGGCACAGCATCTGTCCTTGTTTTTGGGCCTAAAAACTACGCCCCCAAATGCCACACTACCAGTTCTCTCCTGTCACTCCAATCCCAGCAAATCCAATCTTTCTCGTTTTTTTATTTTTCTTTTTCTATTTTCCAGGAAAATTCTCAGTATCATTATTCTCTGTTATCCATTAACATCAACTGCTATTCCACTACCATAATCATTTTCTTCTTCCTTTGTTCTTCTCCTTCTAGACGACGCCACCTGCTCGCTCCCTCCTTCCCTCGCGCATTTCATGGATGAAATGTACGGAATCTACTCCACTGGAGAGTACGCCTCGGACAAGCCGTTGATGTCGCCGCCGGACAGTCTGATCGTACCTTCAGATTACCACGCCTTGTTTTGCTCCTCGGGTCGGGTTCCGATGTTTGGATCCGATGAGTTGCTCTCCGCTGCTTCTGCCATATCTGAAGCTGCCTCCATCACGCCTGAAATTCAACCGGAAGAAGACATGTCCTCCATCATCAAAGCCAAAATCGCTTCGCATCCTTCCTATCCGCGCTTGCTCGAGGCCTACATCAATTGCCAGAAGGTGAAGTGTCGCTCTCTCTTCTTTCTCTATTTCTGGTGCAAGGAAACAACAAACAACAACAAAAAACTGCATATGCATCAACTTATTTTCAGCTTTTTCACTGATATTTAGTGTTGTTTCAAAGAAAAAGAAAAAAAATCGCCGCAGTTACTTTCTTCCTTTTTTTTCTTCATGTTTTTCTTGTGTTTCGATGTTTTGACCCTGTGAACCTTTTAATGTCAACTCCAGTCTCGTTTGGAATTCCAGCTTTCAACTGCTTATTCTTTCTTGGAATTTTGTGCTGATTTCTTTGTTTTCGTTTTCAAGATCCAAACACTTTTTAAAAATCTCGAAGAGATTGTTTTCCGATTAGCAATTTCATGCTGTTTGTTTCCGGTTGCTAATCCATTTTCCAGTTACTTGTTTTCTCTAGGTCGGAGCACCGCCGGAGATAGCGTCTGTGTTAGACGAGATTCTGAGAGAGAATGACGTTTACAAGCGAGGCACCGTTCTGACGTGCTTGGGAGCAGATCCTGAGCTGGACGAGTTCATGGTCTCTCCTTCTCTTTAGTGTATCTCTCTTTACTACTTTGTATTTTCGTTTTCATTTTATGATGATTTTGATTTCTATTTTTATTCAGGAAACCTACTGCGATATTTTGGTAAAATACAAATCCGATCTTTCCAGGCCATTTGATGAAGCGACTACTTTCTTAAACAAGATTGAGATGCAGCTACGGAATCTCTGCACCGACGCCTCCGTTAGAGGTCCTCCCGGCGGTTAGTAATTCGCAATTTATTTCTTCTGAATTGATTTTTATATTTTATTCAATTTGCCTCTTTGGTATTCGTGCTGTGCCAGTATCATATTTCTCTCTTTCTCTCTCTAAAACCTGCATTATCTGTTCCATCTACATAAATGAAGGAAAAAAAGCAGGAAAATCAGTCAATAAACCCTCAATATTATCGCTGAGTCTATGGCAGGAACAACTTGGGTGTAGGTTCATGGTGCATGATAGGCGATAGCCTGAATCATTGAACCCACTAACCCAGCGACAGAGAAACAGACGACCCTTCCTTTCCTAGTCATAGTCCTAGTCCTCTATTCTTTTTCTGTTTTCTGCAAAAAGAACACTCTAATTAAGAACCTTCAATAATACTTATTCGAAAAGACTGAGACTTTTAGGTATGAACATATTGACATAAACGAACAAGGAACAAAACCCTAGAGGTGAAGGAGATCTGTTGACTCTTTTTATCCTCAAGGGTATTTTATGGGTCAGAAGTCCTTCCCTTGTTACGTGTTTTAGGTGGTTGTGACTGTAAATCTCGTTTCTCCAATTCGTCTTGGATACAAAAAGAGTGAACATGAAATGGTCAAGGATCGCGCAATGAGTGAAGGACGTACCTACAGTGTTAAACATTTCTTGTCCAGTTCAATCAATGTTGTTCTGGGGCTGTGTTTTTGCTGCATATATCCGTCATTCCTCTTTTGTTTGATTATCCTTTGATTTTTTTTCTTTTTTCTTTGTGTGGTTTCACTCTTTTTTTTTTACTACTCTCATTTCTTTTCTTAATGTTGTGTTGTCTTGCCGTGTCAGGAAAAAATGAGGTCTGAAAGTAAAACATAATGTATTCGAGATTCTGATTTTGACGTTTCATTGCTCAGTGGTGTCATGTTATACAGTTCTTTACTAGTTTCAACACAGTCGCATTGGATTAAATCTTTCTTTAATGATTTATGATACCTCAAATGATAGGAAGCCTGGTTAGAGCTTCTCTCTCTCTCTCTCTCTCTCTCTCTTTACGAGGGTTAGAGCTTGCTAGGTTAGGACATAAGTAATTGCAATTCAACTTTTCATGGGTTGCTGGTTAATTTGTTGAAAAGGGAGATCATCTCATCCCATACTTTAAAAATTCATTTCACATTCTGCAATTATAAGATGGAACGTAAATTTTTTAGTTCTTAAAATATATATATTGGTTTAGCCTGGAATGAGTGCCAGATTTACATGTTCAGATTACCTATTGGATTATTAATTCGATAATGTGATAGACTAGTGTTGCATCCCATTTCTGAAGATTTGATTGAAGTGGTATTTGTTTAGCAAAAACAAGTAATGTAATAATTTATGAAAGGGCCTGTTCTAGAAATATAGCTTTTTATCTAGACAAATAACTGATCATTATAATATATTAATAGTTTTGATTAGATAATTCATTCAGAATACCTGGTGGATTAGTAATTCAAAATTGTGATTGACAAGTGATCTTGTTAGGTTTTAGGCCTCATCAATCGTGGAGTTCCCCATTTAAATAGTCAAAGTTTTATGAATCAGTCCAACAACTCTGTCTTAAATTCAGCTAGTGATGTTATGGCTTACTGTGTGTGAATGCTAAGCACTGGTACCAGCCATTGCATGTGTGATTGATCCTAGTTGTGCAATAAAATGAGGTATCACTTAATTAGAAGAGCTAAGTGATATGGAATTTTATTTAGCTTTGATAGTGTAGACAGCCATGTGACACTTTAAACGTTAATTAAATTTTGTTTATATGGTTAAAAGTTTTCTATGGGTGAATGGGGGGAAAAGAAGAGAGAAAGTACACTGAAATTATATAGTGCAAATTGCATATATATTTTTCTTGTCATTTAATTTTTATTTAATGAACACATGTTGCTATTTGATTTAGTTAAAGACCTCATTAACTTTGTTGGCAGTTTTCTTTCTTTTCCTTATATTCTGGAGAGAGGGAAGAGTGAGAAGATTGTGTATGGATGACTAGAAGTTAGAAGTATTTAATTTCCACTAGCTAGGGCTTTTTTTCCCCCTTTGAAGAACAATAACTAAAGTTTCTTCACATATGCTACAATTTGATTGAGAATACAAGTTCTTTGTTTGTGGTATTTACAGTTTTTGTGTGTCTCTTGTTTAGTTATGTTAGTTTTGTTGTATGGGAAAAAAATTATAGAGGAAAAGGAGAATCGATTATGTCATAAACTAAAGAAGACTTATGATTTGATGCACTCTATTTATATTATATTTCATGCGTCCAATCCACTTGAATAAAATGAAGGACCTATCTAATTTTAGTGGAGTGATAATGTTCTATAATGATGTTTGTTCCAGTTTGAACGGGTATCAAGTTCTAATAGAGCATTAGTTTTTATTCATATGCATGGTGGAAGCTGAAAAATATTGGAAATTGCCTTCCAGCAGATTGGCTGGGTCTGCTGCTAAAGGTCTAAATTAATATCTGCTTTCACAGCTATATCTTCTTGAAAGTTGTTTCTGATAATTCAGTTTTTTTTTTTTTTTAAAGAGCATAATCTAGGTCATCTTTTCAGTCTAATCCTCATGATCAGTAGTGATTTGAAGAAAAATTTACTAATCACGTGAGGGTATAGATCACAAGGCTTTATAAAAGGACTTGTGCTGAGGGATGATGTTATGCTACTTTCTTTTGCTTCCTTTTTTTTTAATTTTTTTTTATTTTTTGTATTCCAACCATGTTTATGTTTTGAACAAGTAGCATTTTTTTTTTTTGCGTTGTGCTTTTCCTTTGGTAATTTCTTTATATGCGTGTTAGAAATCCAAGCATCTCACCCAAAAAGCTGCGGCTGTTTCCATTTCCACAAGAGTGGAGCTCGTGCAATTGGCACGGGGATAGCAGCCTTAGCATTCAAATGGTGATGAATAAATAACTTGTACTTTTGAATAAAGAATTGAAGAGGAAAAGGTTGTAGATCAATTGCTGGTTGGCAACTATTATTGTTTTTGTTTGAAAGTACAAATTACCTTTTTAATGATGTTATCATCATTTTAATAGTATCATGTTTACTTTATTTCTCTTCTGCCTTGGTGGGTTGTCATTGGTACTTTTTGACAGAGCTGATTAACATATCCACAACAATTAAAAGGAACAGGATATAAGATTCATTAAACATCCAACCATTGCAGAGATCAATAGTAAGGTGTAAATTCACATGCTTAGTTTGGCTTTAGGTGCTTCTTTGCTAGGCTGCCATTGTTGCAAGACCCTTTAAGCCTTTGTTCTCTGCCAATTTGTCCTCATTGTTTTTTGTCTAGTACGTATTCATGTGTATACCATTCTGACATTAGGAATGCTTGCATGCAATTCACATGTTGCTTATAGATCATGTTTTTCCTTGTTATGCTTCACTGTTCTCTGATAGATCTATCTTCCTATTAGGAATTAATAGCTATTCTTTTTTGTAGATTTAATTGATTAAAATCTTGTTGAATGTTGACAGAAATAGATAATCTCTATTCTGAAGGGCATCTAATTGAGGATGGATTTCTTGGTTCATGCTACTTTTTCAATATGGATTAGTGTCTTAGACTCATGGTGTCATTTTACACACTGTTGATGTTTGTGTGCTCATCTTATATACATGGAGGCCTGATTGAACAAAAAGTCAAAAACTGAACAATGATGATGATGGAATGTTGATCATATGTAATACTTGTATGTTATATTCCATAAAATATTTGCACTTGCATCTAGGGTTTATGCTAGTTATCCGAGTCAATATTTTCTTTCACCATCCTTTTTATGGAAGAATCTCAATTCTCGCCACGTTTTGTGATATTGCTGAGAGGTCAAGTTAATGCCAGCTAGAAATTGCACATACATGCCATCGCATGGAACTATTAGCACTCCAGTATACATGACAGCTGCTACCTCCCCTTTTATTCTTCCTTTTGTGTTTGCTTGGTGTTGCATTTGAGATATCATATGCATGGTACTGCAACTTTTCCTATTTATTGAACAAGCAGAGCATCTTCTTTTCTGTCAAAGATGTTATTTAATGCTTAAGAAAAGAGAGGTGATGTTTGCATTTGCAGCTGATATCAAAGTAATGGAAGCAGATGTGCTCCTTCATAATCTTTTTTTGAGAGAGATGTTTGATTGAATAGAATCCATGATTTCTTGATACACCCACGAGCTCATTCATTTTTGAGGTGCCTAACGTTAGAAATATGTTGACATTACATTCTTGTAAGTTTCTTTTCTATGGGTATGAATGATTTTTCACAAAGCACTGAGCACATGGCTGGCATGACATTGGTCTGGTGGTTAGACTTGAACCCGCATGTGACTCATGAGGTGTGCCTGTCTTATTAGAAAGTTGAAAAAGAAACCGAGATGTATTATTAGGCAGGTATTGACCAACATGTAAGAAACATTTTGGTTACAACGGTGAAAGGGGTCAGTTACAGTTAAAGGAGTTTTTAGGGACACAGCCGTGTAGTGTGTTTCTAAAAGCAAAATTTTACGCTTTTTCTTATAGGAGAAAAGGTCAGACTTGATTGGGTGGTCGGAGTTCACATGGACTCCCGCAGTTTCCGCTGTGAAGCACCAGCCTTTTGATCAGAAGGGAAAGAAAAGATCGGATCAATCCGTTCATTTGTTGCCTCCTCTTATCTCTCTGGTCTTATTCTGCTTCTCTGCTTGGTGCCTGTCATTTCCATGGACATTTTGTTTCCTTGGTGGGTCTGTGTGCTTTCTATGATGCATCACACGTGTTTGCCTGGTAGCTCACAACAGGTGTACCTTTAGGCCCCATATGTGCACTCTTTTACCCTTTGGTCCCAGCCATTGTCTAAGGTTTGGCCTATTTCTTATAATAGCTTCCAAACATATCCCCCAGTCTCTCTCAATAAATCTAGGCCAATGAATGTATGTACTACTTGTGACGATATTTAGTTGGGGGGCCTAGTTTGGCGGTGGCAGTGTGGCATAGTGGGTGTTTTTGTAAAGGTCACTTAAAAGTATTTGGTATACTTATATTTTATTTATTTGTTGTTTTATTTAATAGTTAGATTATGATATTTATAAGTATTAATTTATAAATTAATTTTTATTAATTAAATAATAAATGTTAATTATTTTATTAATTATTAGTCATTTTTAATAATTTAATTAAATTAAATTGGATATCATTAATAAAATAATAAGTTATCATAATCACCCTTTGATATGGTGGACTAGTAAATATCATCAAACTAGGGTTTGTTTTTAAGTGTGTTGTATTGTGGTGTGGTAGTAAGTATTTTTTATTTTTATTATTTTAAAAATATATTGAAAAATTAAATAAAATTAATTTAAGTATAAAAAAAATTACTTAAAATTGATAAAAATAATAAATTTACATTTTAATTTAATGTTTTGTGTGAAGAAGATCTGGGTTAATTAGTATTAAACGAAGCTTAAGGGGATTTATTTTCATACAAAGACTCAGAGCATTTATATAATCCCGAGGCTATACATTTATGCGAGAACAGGCGGTTGTGGCAGGCTTAGCTGGCTAAAGAAGTCCCCATGGCTGTTTGCTTGCCCATGTGCTGCCTGTTAATGATTATGGTACAGGCCATACCGAGAATTTCATGTGCAGGAACAGGATTGGGCCCATTCTCGGCGCTTCAAGGAGTTCAAGGAATCTCACAATTGCTGCACTCCACCCCACCACATGACCTAGCTGAATGGGCCGCGTGGCTTGAGGGACGTGTGGAACTGTTTTATTTTTTATTTTTTATATACTGCTACTTTTCTCTCTGCTTTCTCGCTCTCGACAGATATGATCTGATGCCCGTACTGTCATTTCGAACTCAGAGTCTAATTACTGGATATAATTATTTGCTGCGATGTTCTCAGCCTAAATCGCCATTTGTGCCATGGATCATGGTGTTTGTGGAGTGGGCAGAGGTAGTGCCAGGTTTCAGTCCATGTCTAGTTCCCTACTCTTCCTTTCGGGATTCAAGTGTCATGGGTCACATTTGCTTCCACTAACCCTGGTTCTACCGTTGTACGGTGTTACTCTTGTTCCTTCTTTCCAGTGGATTCAACTAAGAAGGTTGTCTCAATTCCAACCCTAAAGCTCTATCCGGGCGTTAATTAGCTGCCTAGTTAGCTCCATTGAGTTTACGCAATGTCCATATGAAACTTGGCATTGTCAATTGAATAGTTTCTCAATGCATAGTGTAAATCCTGTTATTAATCGTTTTCCATTTCTTCTGATATGCCTCCTATGCTATGCTTGTGGACAGATGAAGGAACTGTATCCTCGGACGAGGATCTCAGTGGTGGGGAGCTAGAGTTACAAGAATCTCAAATGCGGGGTGAGGATAGAGATCTTAAGGACAGGCTTCTACGTAAGTTTGGCAGTCACATTAGTACTCTGAAGCTGGAGTTTTCAAAGAAGAAAAAGAAAGGAAAGCTACCAAGAGAAGCAAGACAAACGTTGTTTGATTGGTGGAATCTCCACTACAAATGGCCATATCCTACGGTAAAAAAAAAAAAAAAACCTTGAATCCTTCCTTCATATACCTATGGAAACCATATGGATGCATAATTATCTGCTGTGAAACTAACATGCTTATTCTTGATGATTCAGGAAGCTGATAAGATGGCGCTAGCTGAATCGACTGGGCTAGACCAGAAACAAATCAACAACTGGTTCATAAACCAACGAAAACGTCACTGGAAGCCGTCTGAGAACATGCAATTTGCAGTCATGGATAACCTTTCTGGTCAGTTCTTTACAGATGACTGAGTTGCATGTACAGTCTCAAATTAATTAATTTTTCTCAAGATAAATTGTTGCTTGTGTTGCCTATTTCGTGTATATTCTTAATGCAGAATTGCGTACTTTACTGATATTGGATATGCTTCTCTGAGATATGGGATAAATAATTGTAATTTGTTCCCTATATCTTTCCTCAATTGAGCAGTGGTTATAAAGAAAATAGTTCTCTGGCTAGGAGATGGGAGTTAAGTAGTGCTCTAGTCATTTCTCTGGTGTTTTTTACTTCCGTCTGAATAATGAATTTTCTATAATATTGCCACACCCAATTTATTTCTCTGACCAAATTTGCTTAGAAAATAATCAAATTATGTATCTGTTAGATTAGCTCTAATTGTATGAAGTGGGCATCCTAATATAATAACCCCAAATCCCAATCTTTTATTACTCAATTCACATGCTATACAACCTGAATATAGAACCTTCTTCTCCACTAAAAGTTATATATATATTTTTTAAAGCAGTAATCATGCTGGTAATACTAATATTTGCAAATCTAAGATTCGAGCTACAAATCACTATCATTTGCCACTTAATCCACTATCCGTGGATGAGAAACCATTGCTCGATTTGAAGTCTTTTCATACATTTCAATATGGTTCAAAAAGAAAAAAAAAGGAAAAAAATTCCCGGATTCTAGATCATTGGCATTGGTTTGAGAATTGTTTGGACTGGGCCTCTAGTCCATCTAAAAATACTGAATACATTTGGGCCGGAAATCGTCAACTTGAGCCCATAACAGAATGGGCTTTCCTTCCTCGGTGTTCAGTTCACCGAAAATGTGCATATCTCCCATCTCTCTCCGATCTTTATTAATCAGCAAGAGATAAAACCGTAAACCTGAGCTCTGCATACGGTCAAAATGGCTTCCCCTCGGCTCTCTCTCCCCTGTCTACATAATTCCTCGGTCAAACGCCGTCCAGTTCGCTCTGTCGACGATCGCCAGGCGCTCTTCAGCCGCATTGCTCCTGTCTATGATAATGTCTCTGCCTCCCCTTTCCTTTCTTTGTAGCTTTTTTTTTTTTTAATTTGGCATTTCCTTTCCTATTTTTCCTTTTATTAAATTTCTCTGGTGATTGCAATTTACAGTTGAATGATTTGTTGAGCTTGGGTCAGCATCGGATATGGAAGCGAATGGCTGTCTCCTGGAGCGGGTGGGTTCATGATTCTTTCCTTTCCGTTTTCCTGATTTTGGTTGATACTGTTGGCATATGTTGTTCATTGATTTGATTTTCGAGTTTTTTTTTTTTTTTTTTCTCCCTCGGATGACACGCAGAGCAAAAAAGGGAGACTCTGTGTTGGATTTGTGTTGTGGAAGTGGGGATTTAGCATTTCTCCTGTCTGAGAAAGTTGGTACTAATGGCAAGGTTTCTCCTCTCTTTTCTTAATTAGTAGTTGAATGTGCTTGACTTAAGGTTTCATACCAAATCGAGCTAGAATTATGGGGTTTTGAATTTCCATTTTGGTTGTTATTGGCAGGTAACTGGGCTTGATTTCTCAAAGGAACAGCTCTCAATTGCTTCGTCAAGGCAATACATGCGCCTGAAGGCTTGCTACAAGAACATTGAGTGAGCATTGGTAAAATTAGCTGTTAATTCATTACTTTATCTAGTAAGTCATGTATCAGAAGATCAAATGTTCAGTCATGTACCCATATGGCCGGAAGTCCAGAAAATTTAATCTACATACAGAATATTGTACAGTTGGGTTTGAATTGTTGTACGTTTTATTGTATTCGAATGCCAAGTTACTGATAGTTTGTTTTGTAATTGAATCTAGATGGGTTGAAGGTGATGCACTCGATTTGCCATTTTCTGATTGTTACTTTGATGCTATTACCATGGGTTATGGACTAAGAAATGTGTATGATAAACGTCAAGCCATGCATGAGATTTTTCGAGTTCTGAAACCAGGTCTCTCTCTTTTCCCTACTCCCTCTCTGTTTGTGTGGTTGTAAACTCTGGACATTTCTTAACCCAAGTGCTTATTTTTGGCTGGGTGATTTAGGTTCAAGAGCCTCCATCCTTGACTTCAATAAAAGCACACAACCATATACTACCTTATTCCAGGTAGTAAACTTCTGTTGTCTTCTTATGTTTGTTTTCTGGCATTGCCTCAGCTCAAACGTTTATTTTATGATTTTTTTGTAGGAGTATTTTTGAATGTCCATCTATTTTGATAGTTTTGTAACTTTATAATATCAAGTTTGATATATGTACATTTTCATCGCTGCTCACATCAGGAATTAAAGTTCATTATTTTTTCCTTTTTGTTTTGCAAGGAATGGATGATTGATAATGTAGTTGTCCCAGTAGCAATGGCTTATGGCCTTGAAGAGGAGTATGAGTATTTGAAAAGCTCAATCAGGGAATTCTTGACAGGTTCCTTCTGCTTAAGAAACTGTACCTACCTACCATGCTTTTGTGCATGTCAAAGGAACAAATTTCATTTGAGACTGATTTCTTTTATCTTTTACAAGTAGATATGCATAAATGACAACTCATCATCTCTAAAAGTGCATATAATTTCTTACTTGTTGATTTTCATTTTAATGCGCCTCTTTTAATATTTTATCACGTTTTTTTTTATTGCCAAAAAAATAATAATAATTTTAATCTATTCAATATAAAACTGGGTATTGTGTTGGATTATTTTGCTTTGAAATCTCTTTGATCCTTATTTTGCTTCTTAACATTGAATTGTTGAAACAATTGGAGATTAAATGCATGTCTAGGCTGGGGTTGGATCTAATGCATGGCTAATGTTAATACTAGGATGAATTTCATAACATCTGGCTCGTTTGATTAAAAATCCTGCCTTCTGTTACAGGAGAGGAATTGGAGAAACTTGCCTTAGAAGCAGGATTTTCTAATGCAAAGCATTATGAGATTAGTGGAGGCCTCATGGGAAACTTAGTTGCTAGGCGTTAAGTAGCATTTATTCTTTATCTTCTCCAAGTCCATTGTTCAAGCAATCTGTAATCTATTTCTTCTAGGTGAGCATTATGTTGTTTACGAATTTCCCAAACTATTATTCTGAATGTAGATTTGTAGGGCTTTGGAATCAATAATTAATGAAGTTATTTCACGTATTCTTATTCTCTCCCTTTCCTTTCCCTTCTTCATATCCATTATCTGCAAGAATTTGTCTTGCCATGTTCCTTCATAAGTTTTAGCTTTTTGGACCAGCTTGAGGTTGATAAATTGATGCAAAATTTATAATAATCTATCAGTAAGTATTCTATCGTTACAGTACTGTGTCTTTGACAAATCTCATGATAAAGGTAGATTATATCCTTATTCCTTTACATCTACAAACTCTTGGACCCAAATCTTCATTTTGTTGACCATATCTAAGAGGTTCATGGCCGTCAACTTGCCATTATCATCATCACATCATTAGCTCATCTAGTGCTTACTCGAGCAAAGCTAGATTCTCATTTGATTCTCGAAATGCTTCACAAAGCTGACCTTTTCCTCCCCATCAAACTTGGTGATCATCTGGCATAGAAGGAACTGTGTTCGAAAGTTGCAATTGATGCAGAATCAGATGCATTTAGTGGATGGGAAGGGTCCTCACATCTGTTGTTTAGTTCCATAGTTCTTTCATCTATAAAAGGTGGATTAGTAGGTGCCGGAAGGTTTTCTTCCTTCTTCCTTAGCATTTGTAGCACCTTTGACATTGATGGTCTTAGGTTTGGACTCTCTTGGGTGCATAGAAGTCCGATATGCACCACTCTTGGAACCTCATTCTTCGGATTGCCATTATGGCAGCTGTGGAACATTAGATTTGGGTCATAGAGCTCCTCCACGGTCCCTGATTGAAAATGTTTCCATGTCTGCTCCACCAAGAAAATAGTCAAACACACATCACCTTAGTTAAAGTTGATGTTTTAACCGGTAAAAGAGTTGAAGACCTGGAAAAGATGGGGTTTCTAAAACTTACAATTGTAACTAGGCTGTCAGTGTATTCTAAGGCTTTGCTTCTGTTGTTTTGCTTCCCTGTAACAATCTCTAGTAAAACCACGCCAAAACTATAGACATCTGCCTTTTCTGTTAATTGGCCATGGGCTAGGTACTCTGGAGCCATATATCCCCTGAAGATTGTTAAGAAGAGATTAGTACTTAACGCATAGTTGATGTTGATCTTGAACTTGACTTGGGTGTATCGCTAATCTTATAGTATGATAAAATTGAACGTTTTATGCGTTTTGGCAATGGCAAAAGAGAGATCTGGTACTTACAGGGTTCCAGCAATGGCAGTGCTGATGTGACTTTGATCTTCCTGGAAAGACCTTACCAACCCAAAGTCAGCAAGCTTTGCACGAAGCCTTGAATCCAACAAGATGTTGCTAGCTTTTACATCTCTGTGAATGATTTTCGTCTTGCAGTTTTCATGAAGGTAGACTAAACCCTCTGCAGTTCCGACAATGATTTCATATCTCTTATCCCAGTTAAGCACACGACCTCTGTTTGTATCTGTTATGTTTTTTGGAAAAGAGAAATGAAAACATCTGTTACTGACATGGTCTGCCCATTAACAGCTTCTATTTGGTCAGTGAAACATTTTCTCAGATTCAGACTTCAAGGGGAAATATTGGTGATTACCGAAGATGAAACGATCAAGGCTCTTGTTAGGGAGTAGCTCATAAACAAGAAGACTTTCAGGTCCTGAGCAGCTACATCCTAGCAACCTGACCAGGTTTTTATGCTCCACACTGCTTATAATGTTTACTTCATTGTAGAAATCTGCTACTCTGTGTCTGTTGTTGAAGAATAGCCTCTTGACTGCAATCTCTCTTCCATCAGGTAGAGCTCCCTGCAGGAAACATAAATAAAATAAATTTCCACCAACATTTACAGTGGATTTTGATTATTCTCTAGATGTTCAAAGGGAAAATATATTTTACAGGAAACATACCTTATAAACGGTCCCAAATCCTCCTTGACCAAGCTTGTTTGCTTCGGCAAAAGATCCTGTGGCCTTCTCAAGGGTAGAATACTTGAAGTTTAAGCTACTGTCATTAAGGGTTTTCACCAACTTTTGTGCATCACATGATCCTGTAAAAGACAAATGCCTTTTTAGCTATTTGAAAAAACAAGTATAAAATGTACAATTAATTTAAACTTCATAGATATTCTGGCAAATGAACTTTTTCTTACGTTTTCTTTTCTTTTGTATACGTCTCTGCTTCCATATATAAACTCCCATAGGTACCCCAACTCCCAAAACAACTAGGGAACTGACAACAGAAACTACTATCACTATAGTGGTTCCTGCAAATTCATCGAAGTAAATTCAAATTTAGTTAGAAAAGATCAGTGTAGAAATTCTATTCTGCCCTAGTGCTTGCAAAGCTTCATCTTAGAATAGGTAAAATATGTTAAATAATCAAAGATTAAGATGCATAACAATGAATAAGAAGATCAATGCTTTTTACCTCTTGAACTTCCACTTCCAGATACTTTGTTGAGGAAATCTTTGTCCGAGTACCTCATGAAGCATCCTGTATTAATAGCTCGTCCCTCTGACCAAGGCAAGCATCCTAATATGGATGCAGACGCATTCTGTAAGCACATTCTGCAAGAATTCTGACTCAATGACTTCCAGCAATCAGCCAAGACAAAAGCTGACTCATTTGTGCCCGGAACAGCTACGTGAGCTCGTGCATAGCCTGCATTGCCTGGTGCAGCTGCAACAGCGCTGTTCACAGCATCTGTTGCTGATTTTTCAAAGGCAGAACTTTTCTTTGTTGCATTGCCACACACTGCCCTGTCTTCAGGCCCTGTGTACTCCTCAAAGAAGCTGTAATTCTCAGACCGCATGAAGCAACCGTCAAGAAAAATGCGACCACCATTGTTGGGATAGCACTGAGGAAGAATTGTCCGAGCCTCAGCATAGCACAACACGCAGTCAAGCGAAGAGAGGTCCCCATAACACTGAGCCAGACCATAGTTGGTGTCAAGTCCTGAACCCTTAACTGCTTGTCCGAAGCCTGCTGTACGCATCTGTTCGCTGATATTCTCCATGGTAGCAACAAAATTCGGAACATAGATGGTTGTATTATGCTCCAGCTGGTGGCCACACATAACTTTGACTATCTGTGTTCTTGGATCTCCCCCTACTCTTTCAAGCAATGCCACAGCTCCCATAAGCAGCAGCAAAATATATCTGCTGCAGACCAGTAAATATGTTCTCTCCATTTTCCAGCTGAATGACTGCACTGACACAACTATCTCTGTATTTGATTTCAGGTAAAGAGAGAGAAAAAAAGAAGAAGAATTATTTATGAACTTGAAAATAAAATGAATCATCAAGAAAGAAAATAAATGGAAAATCAATTAAGTAGGCAATCATTGATGTCATGGTTCCTAATGTAACTGTTAAGCGCTTTTTTTTTTCTTGTTCGTTATTAATAAAGAAAGCATTTAACGGGCGAAGAAAGATTAAGAAGTTATTTTTTATTGTATATCACATCAATAATTGGATTCAAAAAAAATCCTCACAAAAGTTCTGAACCATTCTGTTCACTCTATTAAAAAAAAAAAGTTCTTACCTAATGGTAAAAATATAACCCCTAATCTCAACTTTAAAAGTAAAAATTTGAAATTAGTGCATAATAACTTCGCAAATTTAAAAAAGTCCCAATTTTAATGTACCTATTGTTTGAGTAGGGACTATTAAAATAGACGGTGGAAATTTGAGTAGGAAAGCGATCGACATTGAAATTTTGGCACTGGCATTTGAAATTATGCATATGCCTACATTTCCAGAAGGCAAAAAAGCAGCTTTCACACGTGTAAGGTGGGAGACCCATTTTCATCAACCCCACCCCCCGCCCCCTTTTCTATAATGATTTATTCAATATACCTCATATTTTATAAAAGCTTATCTTTTTTTAACATGTAATGCATAAATATATATATATATTTAATATTATAAATAATTAAAAAATATAAATAAAATAATTTTATTTTTATAAAAATAAAATGTGTGTACGTTTTTTTTTTTATTATTATTAATTAAAAATAATGTAATTCGTACACCACAAATCGCATTGTAGCTTTCTCTTAGACTGCTTTCACCCATTAATGCAAAAAGCTTGAATTCTACAGAACAACATAAATCCTGAAATTCAGCACCCGAGACGGATAAAGATTGACACTAGACATTTGGTAGGGCCGTCGGCATATGAATGCAAATAAATGCGGCCCTGCAGAGCACGGCTAACCTCATAAATAATGCAGGAACAGCTGGGCCCCATCAAAGACACGTTTCAGGTTTTATTATAATAGTCATAGTCGTTGTTAAATAAGATTTGTTTACGTTATGCTGTACTAAATTTATTTTTTATTATAAATTTATATAAAAAAATAAAAATTAATTATTAAATTTTTAATTTTTAATTAAATATACGTAACATTAAAATTAATATTAATTTTTATATTTATATATATTTATAATAAAAAATATAATCAATATATTATTATTTTGTATCTAAGGATATAGATATAAAAATCTTATTAAATACACTAAATCTATCAAAATAGTTAAATATTTATTTTAATTTAATTATTAAAAATAATTAATAATTAATATTGTTTCAATATTATGATTTTCCTGTGCATCGTTTTTAAGGTTGAGAGCAGTGGTATTGGGTTTTTCTTCTTAAGGTTTCTTTTCGACATAAGAGTTCTTCTATCCCTCTTTTCTTTTTACCCCTCCTTTCTTTTTACCTCTCCCTTCCTCCTCTTGATCTCCTCCTTCCTCTTGTCGTTGTCTTACTTTGGAAACTCCAACCCAAGGGACCACAAGGCAATGGCTTTTTGGGTTTTTTAGGGTTTACATTGTTGATTTTCGAAAGCTGCAATTAGAATTGATTTTGCCGGTGAAGTGGGTTTCTCTTATTTAACGGGCAAGAATCTCGCTTTGGTGCATTTCCTCGGATGGGGTCTTGGCGGGGGTAGAATTTGGCAAATCTGGTTCACACCAGTTTTAGATCAGTTAGTCGATTACTGAAGGAAAAGAATGTTGTTGGTAAGGTCGGCTATGATCTGCATGGGAAGCTTGATTTTCAAGTCAACAAAAGGGCTCTAGTTCTTTTAATGAGTTTCAATAGCATGGCTTTGAAGAGGATTGGCAAAAATGGGAACATGATTGGGAGTATATGGAGGCGATTGAGGGGCCTTGTGCTTGCCAGGAAAAGGCCCATATCCCTTTTGGTTGTTCTTCTTTAAGAACAAGTAAGATAACAACTTGTGGGTTGTGGACTATTTGTTGCCAGAATCCCTTGCTCTCCCCAAGAAGTTGGTTAAATAGATGAGGATGTCAAATAGTTCTTAATGCTCATGGTGACTCCTCTTTCTACATTAGTAGTTCTATTTAGCCCATACAGGATTATAAATTCAATCTCTAGTTGTAGATAACTCTTTTTACTTAATTGTCTATATCAGTCATTAGTATAGTTTAAGCCTGTTACTAATGTTATAGGTTATGCTTTTGATTTTGTCCTTACGTGATTTTGATTTTGGCTATATGCCATAAGATGAAAATTCTGTTGTAATTTATTATTATTTAATATATTTCTCTATTTTTCATAAAAAAAATAATTAATAAAATAATTAATATTTATTATTTAATAAATTTAAATTAATTTGTAATTAAATATTGTTAAATATTATGCTTTTGATTTTGTCCTTACGTGATTTTGA